GGATGTATTTGTTCTGCCAAGCTTTTCAACTCGGTTTAATTTAGCTCTGTGAACTTGCCGTGTCTCAGGCTGCCTGGAATGTGTCAGGTGGGGTGTATTATAAATATGCATCATCTGATCTCAGCGTCTTGCTCAAAGGTTTAGCAGCAGAAAGAGTCCAGCAAGTGCTAACTCCTTCCACTGGAGCAGGGTGACAATCCAGGGCACAGACAGGCTTACTTTGAGCTGGCATTGTACCAGGACAGGCTGCTTTGTATCTGCAAGCTGTATGTGAGCATCCCTGTGAGCAGGGATGCAGTTGAGTACCAAGGTAACATTAACTCCAGCAAGGCTGGCAGTTAGAAGAGCTTCAAAGCTGCCAGCATAAAGAAAAGGATCACGATTCCTTCCTATTGATTTGCAACTTGTCTGTGAGTGAGGCAGCACATTGCTGAGTGCCTTGGCCAGCCAGCCTTGAAATAGATGGGGATTTGTTTTGTGTGGGGAGGTGATAAACAGAAAGGGAACCCTGCTTTGCAATTGGTTACAGATGCAGGCAGATCTTTGAGCAAATGGCTTATCAGAAGAGGTGTATGTTGTCATGCTGGTTTTCTGCGAAGCATTGAGGGATCAGGTTGAAGTTAGGAGGAGGCAAAGACAGAAGAGTGTGCAGCTCTATTTGAGCAAAGTGGTGCTCAAGTAAACCACAGAGTGAACTGTGGTGAGCTGGGCCCAGAGACTGACTCAGCTTCCAGATTTACCTGGGAGATGCAGGTTAGCACATCAGCAATTAGATGAGGTTTAGGCTGTCCCTGGGGCAGCTGAATACATGGCAGACAGGATAGAAAGAAGACATTAAAGGTGTGAAACCCAAACTGCAGCAAGCATAGAACTGTCTGGGCAATCCCAGCTTTACATAAAGTCAATCCCATACAGGCACAGACCCTTGGTGGGGATGTAATGTATCCCACTCGCATGCTTTGATCCCAGCAACAGCCAGGCTGCTTCATGATGCAAATGTCCCAGCCATACAAGTAGCTGTAAGGAAAGGCACCTTACTTTCAAAAGAGTGACAGACACTCCTCTGTCTCTTCTTTCCTTTCCTTTTGCAAAGTCCTTCACATCACCCTCCACCAAGAACAACTGAGTCATTTCCTCTGCTCTGGAATACCCTCCTCTGGAAGCTTTCCAGTTTATCCGCCTTTGCCTCACTTCAAGTTCCCTTTGGGAACATCTCTCTTGCTCTCCTGCAAGCTGGTTCTCCAAAGCCTTCATTGTTCCTCTATTATTATTTAATACTGTGCTCTGCAGCTGCACTATTTCACCCCGTGGGCATAGCACGTGTGGACAGCTCTGTGCTTTGAAATGCTACCATGGCTGCATGCAGTAGATCTCAGCGTACAGACAGAGCCCTGGGGCTGTTTGGACAAGGGTTTTGCCATAGCCATCTCTATGAAGCTATGCATCAGTTGAGCGCTGTGATTGCGGCCGATGCATCTCTCCAGGATGGACATTCTTGTCTAGTGGACATTCTTCACTTGTTTGGGAAATGAGAACAACAGACAGCATTGAACTTCTGGGTGTGATTTAACTGAGCACAGGGACTGATGAATTGCAGTATCAGCACCTCACACCATGTTTTAATTGACCTGGTTGGTAGAAAGGTCTTCATCTGTTACCAGTTACTTTTGGAAACCCAAACACACACACACACACCATTGGGTGAGTGGGCAGGATGCTTTACGGATAGATAACCGCTTTTCCTCCTTTCTTGTGTCTTCTATCTCCAGAATAGCCATGGGAGAACAAAGTAATGAAGGAAACTGCTCTGAAAGAGACTGGGGGTGGAGTGTCCTTCTTTTCTCCTTAATTGTAACACCATGAATTAATTCAGTTTCCAGCAGGAGCGAGAAGTTCCCAGCAGCCCTTAGGCATCCAGATAAGGCTGAGCTCTTCATTCAACCCCTTTGGGTTCTCTGGTACCAAGCTCACTGCCAACTGCTTCACACTAACTTTTTGGAGAGTTTAAATTACCCGAGCGTGACACAGAGCAAGGGGTTTTGCATTCTTAATTGCCAAAGCCTTTTCCCACTCCAGTCTGGAGGCCCCTGAGCTGCCCTGCCAATTTATTCTGATCCTGATTCGCAAGCCTTGCAAACACCTTCCCAGGGCTGCACGGAAGCCCTGTCAATGTAACTGAATCCTCATCTCCCCGTTCTTAGCTTCTCCTGAGGCTTTCCTCATGTCCTCCTGCTTCACTTACAGCATCCTTTCTTGCAGCCATCCTGCCCTCCAGGCAAGCCCTGTTGGTGCCTCTGACTTTACCTGTTACAGAGGCAGTGCCCACAGGGAAAGGAAGGGCATAGGCTGGGTTGCAGGTAAGTCCTCCAAACTATGCTGGCCATAGCTCTTCCCCAGGAAGGGGAGGTTGAGGAAATAGGTAGGGATGCTGATGAAAGGAGGTTTGAAACAGGGAAAAAACCAAAGCAAAAAGGGGCGAGGGAGGGAAGAGCCAGCAGAAAGGAAGGTCTCTCTCTACCTTTTCCATTTCTTTTCCCCTCCTCTGCACTTTCATGATCTCTCATTTATCTCCCTTGTCTCTGGTGTTTCCTCTTATTGGCAGCAATGATCCCATTGCCTTGCACAGCTTCCTAGCTGGATTCCTGTGAAGATGTCATCACCACTTCTGCAGGCAGGCTCAGCCTGTCCTCAGGAAAGGGACCTGCACATGAAAGGCAGGGCTTGTTACTGTAGGACTGTGTCATTGTTTGGTATTTGCCATTCTGTGGAAGCAACACAGCCCCATCTTAGGCAGCTGTAATGGGTACCTACACCAGAATGCTCATACCTTAGCTTGGCAAGGAGGAAGTACTCTGTTAGACACCCCAAAGCATTCACAGTGCTCCTTTGTCCTTTCCCTCTCCTCATCCCCTCACTTTCTTTACCCAGTGCCCTGTATTTCTCTTCTGCAAACTGATGGCTGCATTTTCCCCTCTTTAGATTTTCCTAGCCCTTTTCCACTAGAGCACAGCCGTGTTCAAGTTCCTGGAGATTCATTTTAGCTTTATTTATTTCCCTTTCCCTCTTCCTCCTTCCATCCCTTTCCCCCACACACATATACACACTGCTGATTTACAGCTGTAGCAGGAGGCTGATGTTCTCTGCTCACTACCTGCCATCCAGAGAGCCATTAGGGGCCAATTCATCATGGAAATGCCCCAGCCAAAGTGACTGGAAGATTCTTTACAGTCGCTGTCCCTGCAGCTATCTCGAATGGTGTCCTGGGGTTTGGATTGCAACACGTCAGCCTGAGCATGGCTGTAAGTGAGCTGTCTCAAGGCAGAAATATTATTTACAAGATAATGTGGCTTATGGAGAAAGGAAGGGAAAGCAAAGTGACTGCCACTGCTGAGGATGGTGGGGAGCAGAGCCTCGTGTTCTGATGACTACAGCATCACTTGAAGACACACAGCTCTAAGCTCTTAATGAATGAACAGGGAAGGTGTGGGATGCTGACTGATGGAGGCAAGAGAAAACCAGGTTGGCATGGAAAGGGATGAGGGATCTGTGTCAAGACACTTCCCAGGGAAAATGCCTCATTGGTAGCAATGCTCTCAGCATGGTGCTGGGAGTTCAAGTGTTTTGTACCGATGCAGTAAACATGCCAGTCCTCTGCTGTGCAATTTGTCAGTAGTGACCAGAGAAGGGGTTTTCCCTAGGAAAGGTTTATACATCTCAGTTCACTTCTGGATGACAGGGGCGAATCTGAAAGGTGAAGAGGTGAGATGTGGGAGCAGGCTCTTAGCAGCACAGCTCTGCAATTGCGCCTGGTGTATGTGATTTCAGGGAGCCCAGCCTTCAAGCTAAGCAAGCGGTGAATCCATGGATATGAGGTGGGAGTACATGGCAGATTTGCACCCTGAAATGTCCTGTGTAAGTTGTCCTGTGTGATTTGGGAACGTGTGCGGGTGTTTTGTAACCATGCACACATGTAAGGTGTGATTTTGAGACCATGGTTTTAGTGGAGATACAAGCTACCACTATGATACCCAAAACCAACTGTTGCAGAATGAGGTCCGTATAGTCCAGTATCTAGTCTCTAGCAGCATCCAGGGCATTAAGTACAAGAATTAGACGTGACAGACAAGTTCTATGAAACACCTTGCTCCCTCATCTCTGTCTCGCTCCCCTCCCCGGAATTCCTTTTCCTTCTCCTCCTCCTACTTCTTCCTCCATTCCAATTATCTCCTCCTTTCATCACTGCCGGAGCTGTAAGTACAAAGTACCAATTAGCTAGTTTTCAAGTTTAATTAGGTTGGAAGGTAGAGCAAATTAAATCCTTTTATCGTATGTTTCAAAGCGCTTTCCCGTGGGCCCATGGGATAGGTTTCCTTTGAATGAGGTCCGTGTTAGCCACTGAGGAGCTGGCCCAAGTCACCGAGCTCTCTGGCCATGAGGCAAAGAGGAAATGAAATGCAGGATATGATACATCTTGTCCCTCAATCCTCCATGCAGGACTTCTTCTTGGTATGGTTTAGGAGGGTACATAGCTCTACTCCACATCGATAAACTGAGCTTTGGTCCTCAGGTCTTCTAAGGTCTACATTAATAGCAAAGCTCTCCTTCATTTCAGCCAGGACTTCACTGAAGACACTGTGAGAAGGCCCTGAAGAAGGCTTTCAAGATAGTTATTGGTACTATTATCTCAAGCAGCACATCCATACGAGTCCCACTGCACCACATGGGGTGTCATCTTGGAAGCACCTTTAGTCCCTAAGCCCTTCTTTCTTTGAGGACAGAACAAAAGCAGAACAGGCCCAGGAATAACCACCTAATTCAAGAGGGGAATTGCAGAATGGAATAAGGAAGTGGTTAGCACTTGGAAACACATGGGCTGCAATTGCAGCTACCGATTTCTGTTCCTTTTGAGCTCGTTTCAGCATGACCTTTGCTCTTAGCACCTTACCCTTGTGTTGTCTGATACCCTAACCCTCTTTCCTGTGCTTCCCTGTGTGTTGCAGATAAGCCACTACCTCAGGGTGCCCCAGGAGGCGTTATTGGGATCGTGGGAGGTGTCATCGCAGCAGTCCTCATCATTGCCGTGGCTGTCACCGTAATTATTGTCTACAGGAGGCAGCAAAAGAACCGCACTGAAACAGACAACGACCTGTAAGTAGCTCCATGCTTGAAGTACAGTGTGCTGGTGGTCCAGACTGGATGGGGCTACAGACAGAGAGCACCATGGGCCTGTCACTACCTGCACATAAGCTGGTCAGCAAACTGGCTTTCCTGCCATTCCTCCCTGTCTGCCACCCCCTGGCTCTCTCCTTTGACTCAGAGAGGGGTCTGTGATAGAGCCTGAGCACATTGGATATCCCAAGGAATCCAGTCACAGGCATTCCATGTTCATTTTTCTCATGCAGTGCTAGCCTGAAGACCTGAACTCTGGCAATACAAGGGCAGGGCAAGGGGATGCCCCAGGGGCTCCTCTTTGACAGGGCTTTGCTCTGCCCTAGGCTGTGCAGCATGGATCCCAGGCAGGGAATTCGGTGATGTGGAGTTCTGGCTATGCAGCATGAATAGAGCCCTCTTCAGAACTGTTTATCCTGGCCTCTTCCTGAAGAGCTCTATCTTGTAACTGCCTTTTCACAAGAGCACCAGCTCCCTTCCTCCCCACTTCATAGGGGAGGCACGGGAAGCCCAAAGGCCAGAAGTTGCTTTTATCTTCCACAACACCCATCCTCATTGTTGATACATCTTGGCCACATTCTGTGCTCCATTTAATCCCGTTTGAGAGAGGGCATTGGAGGATAAGTGGGGAGGGAGGGAAGAAAACAGGGAAAGCAGGAGGAGGAACTGAAAGGCACACAAACAAAACTACAGCACCACAAGGTGAAATTGCATCAACAGCATCAGCCCTACGCTAGAGATGCATTCAGACAATCCACTTCCCACAATGGCCCTCCACGCAGGCACAGTGAAGAGCCACTTTAGCTGAGAATAGAAACACAATGCTGCCCTAGTCTGCAGAGGTGCTGCCTCTATTGTGGAGTCTGCTCCAAAGCCTCCAAAAGGTAACAGCATTTCTTTCCTTCAAAGCCATCATGTCAATGCTTTGCAGAGCCTTGGGGACCTGTTTTACCTTCCCACTCACCCCTACACTCCGATCCCACGCTAGAATCCATTGGGTTGCCAAGGAAAGTCACCCATCTCTGTCAGAAGATCTGGTGAAGATTGTACAGAGAGAAGGGAAGGGGGGCCAGGCAATTAGTGGATTGGCTTTAATAAGTTTTGTAAAAGGATTAGGCACATCTATGCATGTGAACAGAATGCACAGAGACAGTCTCTAGGCTGGGATTATAATGGGTGCCAATGCTTATGCTCTGGGGCAAAAGCTGATCCCCTGACTGGGGTCATGGATAAATACGCCTGCGTGGCATAGCACATCTACGAAGAAGACTCAAAGTCGTACTGGGAAGCCTGTGGCAGGGGTTGCCATTCCAGACAAGCTCCTGAACTGGGGGTGACATTACCCTGTGGGTTTGCAGTGACCACTGCCAGACACTTCCTGGTACCCTACAGCTATACACTGAATAAGCCACCTCCCAAGGGATGGGTTGGAGCCATCCCAAAGCAGTGCTGGGAGACAGGTATCCCAGCTGCACCTCAGGATCTGCAGCCCGACATGGGGATTTGCTTGGAGTTAGGAACAGAATGCTGATTTCTATTAACACTTCTAATTGGGGTGAGAAGGAGGGCACAGAGGGGTTACAGAGAATAATGTATATGGTCATATTGGCAGTTTGGTGCCAAACAAAACCCAACCTTTGGTGCATGCAGGATGCGGCTTGTCACGTACACCAAAGCAAGCAGAGCCCTTTCCTCTCTAACCACTTCTTTATCTGCAGAATCGACTTGCCTCCATCCCACAAACCTGCCCCTCCACCAAAGAGGAAACAAGAGATGAAAAGCCACCTGACTGCAGAAGACATCCAGGTATGGCTCCCTAGCCCAGCTGCAAGTTCCTCCCTCTGGCAAGGAAAACCAACTTCAAGCAGTGTCCGCAGTGGGTTTGCAAGGGTAAAATCATCCATGGCCTAAGTTTGAGGGTCAGAAAGTGAGGACTTGTCTGCCCGGAACTCACAAATATTGGCACTATTTGTGACAGCTATAATTGGGATCCTGCTTACTTTTGTGGGGACTGAGTTTTAAATGAGGTGGTGTTCAGATGAGAGGACTTTTGAGCATGCCCACCATTCTGAATGCCCTGAGTGGCAGTGAGGGGTATGAGAATGAAAGAAAGAGAATGGGAGGCAAATCATATGGTTGGAGGAAGGGAGAAGGTAAGATGCACTGCCTTCCGTGGTGATACCTGGTGGTGGTACAGATTTGGCCCTGAGCTGTGATAGAAGAATAGCACTTGCTCTTCTCATCCCTCTTCTCTCTCATCTGTTATAGGTTGTTCACTTAGACAACATGAAACACGAGGAGGAAATCCAGAAACTCCCTCTGCAGACTCCATACTATGACATGGCAGCCACCGAGCCCTCTCCCTACACTGACAAACTGGTAAGGAGATGAGGGCGCTAATAGTGCTGCCCGGCCCCATCCTCACTGCCTTTCACCCTAAACAGCAAAAGAGCCCCACCATCCACAGCTGTGAACAAACAGCCTTCCCAATATAGGATTATCCTCTCCTGGAGCAAGGAAACCTCCACACTCTGATCTGAGCCCACCTCTCAAATACCACTGATGCTAATTCAGCACTTGCCCCCTTTGCTGTTGGTTTCTATAGGTCCTAGAGCTGTGCCTTATGGGTCATTCCTCTATAAAATACCCAGTAATTATCCACGGGGCTGAGCATGCCCGTGTTTGACTCTCAATTGACAACCAGCTCTTTGTGTGGATTTGCTCAGCCCCAGACAGGGAGATGCTAATGTGAGGCAGCAGCAGCAGAGGGATACTAGCAGCCATGCAGGAAAGGCTGGTTTTCAATGACTGATGCTGAAGGAGGAAATAGTAGATTCAAAGGGCAAAGTCAAGGGGAGCAGAAAACAGGCAGAGAGTCCTCCCCAAGGAGAAAACAGAAAACCTTCCTCCTTCCAGACCTTGGACAATATCCTTTCCCTCCCTCATCCTATGGCATGGGGCTGCTCCCCAGGTCCTCCATGGCAGACATGCGGTCCCCATGTTGATGCTGCAGGTGTCTCTCACATTCATCCTCCAGGAGGGCTGATTCACAGTGCTCCACACCAAGAGTGGTGCTTCTAGGTCTCAGCAATGTGAATCCATTTGCCTGAGAATATCAAGTATAAATATCAGCCCATAGCGGAGTAATATTTTATGAACCTGACTAATTATAAACCCTCCCTCCAGTTCATCCTGGTGTGACCCTTTAATGCATATTCCTGGGCAGGTAATAGAAGGACAGGGCCCAATGACCTTTAGTTAGAAGAAGTCTGCAGCAAAGCAGATCCTGAGGGTACTGGAAATAAAAAGGCACAGCTCTGTACTGAGCTATGTTGATGGGATCCTATTTACTTCACTCTAGCTGAACCTGACTGATGTCCCTAAAGAAAAGCTTCCCTTTGGAGTCCTCCCTTAGTCCCAGGGCTTGTCTCTAGCTCTTTCTAATCCTTGTTGAGTGGTAGCTGAGCTTTAAATGAGGCACAGGATGCTAGACTGAGATGGATGGCTTTGTGGGGAGCATCTGAGAGCCCAAATTCAGGCAAGCAGGAGGATGGAGGAGCTCATTTCAGGAAATAACGAGCAGTCAGTTAATTAAGTGGCAGAGTTAGTGATGTGAGATGGGGCCTGATGGGTAGCTGCTCCGTAACCATGGGAACTGAGTTTGCTGCTCTCAATTCTGGTCTGAGAAGATGCATTTCTCTGTCCCATGCTTGGCACTCGCTGCTCCTTACCCGTGGCTTTAGCCAAGAGGTGATGGACTATGGAGCCCTCATTTTATTTGGCCCATGAAGGAACTCCCTGTGCAGTAGGGATGTGGTGTCTGGGTGACTCAGCCGCCGCTCTGCCCGCTCTTGGCACAAGACTAGCACAGCTGTGCATTGGGCCTGTCCCCTGGTCAGCTTGGCTGGCAGTCCCTCCGAGTGGCATCAGGCTCCCCCATCACGTCTACACACCACGCTTTGGCTTCTTGCCGTAGGAACAAGATGAGGCTCGCTCCTGTTTCTTGCTAAATCACTGCATCCTTTGGGCAGACAGCAGGCTATTCAGGTTTGTGACTGGCAAGGGGAAGGAGGGTGTGGGTTTGCTGCCAAAGAGTGCTGGTTTTGCTGGATTCGGCCCAGATAACACAGGCAGTACGTGCTGCCACAGCCAGCACCAGGTGTGCATCACGTTGCCCATGTGCAAGGAGCCAACGCTTGCCCTCCCCTCTGCAGGACCACTCACAGGCATCACCCCTAAAGCATGGCAAAGGCTTCTTGTTCATGTCACACACATTCTCTTCCCTGCAGAGGGGATGCTGAGGAGCGTCTGGCTGGGATAGCACTTGCATGGAAACCTCCAGGGATAGTGATGGTTACTAAACCCAATACCAGCACGCCTGGCTCAGTCCCAGTAATCACACTCCACCAGCATGCTAAGGGACTGACCAATGCAAGCTAGACCTGCACAGTCCTTTTTGCCTGAGAGCTGGGTCAGTTGGAGGATGAGGAGGGAAGCACATTTCCTTCAGCTTCACTGGTTCTCTGCCAACCTCACTTTGATACAGCCCCTCTCCCACTGTGTTCAGATGCAGATGTAGGCAGCTGCTCTGCTATATATGCGGTTCTGGGATCCTTTAGAGGGGAAGGCACAAAAGAAAGGCAGGCTATTCTTGTTCTGCATGTACTTCATCTGGAGATTTGGCTTGGGAGGGTAGTGAAGAAGATGAGAGTTGAAGGGAATGGATTCTGCAGGAAAATGGAGCGGGTGCATTCAGCTTTCACCGAATTGTGCAAAACCTTGTAATTTGGGATAAACCAGATTCATCACAAGGCAGCATGAAAGCCACTGCCTGGGGTTGGCTATTTCACAGCACTAGAATGGGAGTCAGAAAGTGATTAGAGGCGGCAAACAGTGAGGGAAGGGGGAATGGGAGAGGTGCCAGGAGATACGAAGGCAGGTGGAGGAGGAATGCAAAGAGGGTGTGCAGGTACATGTGGATGTGTGCAGATGCATGCTGGCTGGCGACCAGGTGAAGGGGACAGGCTGGGGCATGTCTGCAGGGACAAGATACCTGCACAAAGGAGCAGGGATGGGCCCCGTGTCAGAGGCTGTAAGTGCATATGTGTGTTTGTGTGTTGCAAACTGTGGGAAACATAGCGTGAGGCTAAGCACAGAAATACACAAGGATAGCATAAGGGCAATGGGGTTCCTTGCAGCATTTGTCTCTGAGCTCTTGTAGGGTAAAAACTGTGATGTATGTGAGGATATCTAAGCAGGAGTGAATGGGATGGAAAGGCAAGTGCGTGTTACAGGTAACAGCTCCAAAGACCATGCATGCCAGAGTGCTGGTACCCATGTGTATCAGTGCACAGAGTAACACGTGCGTGTGTACAAGTGTGCACATGGCAGTGTCTGTGGGTCATGTAGATCCTGTGGGTATGCATGTGAGAGGGAGCATGAGCGAGAGAGGTGGAAGCATGCGTGCATGTAGGAGCAGCAGTATGATTGGTGTCCATGTCAGCAATACCCATTTGCACAGGTAGAAAGGAAAGTTCCATTGCTATAGACAGCAAAATAATTCCTTTCGGTTTACAGGGCAATTACCAGGGTGCCAATGCTGATGATTTACACAGAGCACTTGCATGTGGCAGTGCTAGGCCTTGTATACAAGTCACATTATTGATATTGTAATAATTTTTGCTCCAAACAAGCAGCACAGAGCAGGAGCAAGCCTAAGAGTGGCAGAAAGCAGGGGATGTCCATGGAGAAAACACCTGCAGGGGGAAAGAAGCGCTATTTGGGAGAGAATTGAGGCAAAGTAGTCAGAATAGGAATGTAGGAGGTAAAGAGTCTGCCTTTCTCTGGGACTAGAAGAGGTACTGAGATACAAAGGTCATGGGGAAAGTTCTACAGGACATAGGTTTAGGTTTAAGACTGGAGTTGGCATCACTTGCTTTTTCAGACATCCATAGACACGAAGCAGGAAGGCCATAGGATACACAGCTTTCACACCAACAGCTTGACACTGCTGTCTGGTCACCTCCCCAATGACTGGACCCAGGGGGGACCTCAAGCCTTGTGGTCCTCCAGCATGCAGCCTTGCTGAGCACCACAGGGGAACTGGATACTGGAAATGCCACTGCAGCAGTGCTCCCCTTTGCCCTGTGGAACCAAACCCTGTCACAGAAGAGCACAGCGGAGGGAATCGCTGACTGAATAACCCCTCCCAGCAACAGGCACTGAAACAGCTCATTGTAGGGCTATAAACGTCAGAGAATGGCTCTGCCACAGCTGGTATGTGCCTGAGGATGCTCCCAAACAAAGAGAAGAGAACCATTTTCAAATTAAACACCTTTTGCGTAATTGCCAAGTGATGCAGCCATTGTGGAGAATGGAGAGAGAAACTGGGAAGCGATTCCATTTGGAAGAGACAACTCTTCTCAGAGAGGCTTAGCAGACACTTGGCTAAGGCTGGGAGAAGAAACCAGGCCCAAAAGCGAGTATTAGAGAAACTCCATAGGGCAAGTAGCCAGGGCATCCCCTCCCACCTTCAATACTGACACCAGGGCTCCTCCTGGTGACTAATTTTCCTCATTAAGCAGTGATGTTTCCAGGGCATTCTGCCTTTCAGGGTTCTCCAACCATTATTATTTGTAAGGCATGAAAGATGTCTGATCATTCCTGCTCCAGCTGGATAATATTCCATTCATGCAGCTCTTGCTGATAAGCCCGCTTAGTAAAGGGATACCCATAAATATTTTCAGGGCAAAAAAAAAGGATGCTTTTAGCATCTATTAGACATTATTACAACAACAATGTCATGCTGCACAGCAGTGTCATTTCCCTATGGTAATGCATCCACTGCAAACCCACTCATGTCTTTGACACCACTGCCTCTAGGAATCTCCTTCTTGACACCCAACGTTCATGATTTTCACTCATGTCCCCAATGCTGCCTTTGCATCCAGTGTGCTGCAATGAACCCCAAATTCCTGGGTCAAAACTGACAGCTCAGATATCCCATAGGGTTTGAATTCACTGAACCACCCCAGCTAAGAAAGGTTCACAGGAGGACAAGAGCAGCGAGATGTTGCTTGGGGCAGATGCTACCAAGCTGGGCTGTGTCACTCAGCTCAGTGGTGGAGGGAGCAGTGCCATTGGGACCTTTTGATTTGGGATTTCACCTGACTGACTGTTCATCACCTCCCCACCTCCCTCTTTTTAACTGGGTTTTTTTTCTTCCTCCCCCCTCTCACCCTTTTCTTCTTTCTCCCTCCACCCTTCACACACCCTCTCCTGTCTCCTTCACTCACTTCTCACCTTCTGCATGGTTCCTGTGCCTCCCCACTTCAACCCCAACTCCTCCCTCTTGTGTCCCCACCGCCTTGCTGCTCTCTTCTCTCCAGAACTCTGGCAACAAGGACTGTGATGTCCACTATGCAGAGCTGGACACGTCCGCTCTGGCCTCGTCACCCAGTCCTCGGACCTCCATCCATGCTGGCGGAGACCTAGTCGAGTATGCAACTATCCAGCCCAACTTACGCTAGCGCATGTCACTCTAGGCCCTTTCCCCTCAGATTCTGGCCTCCAGGTACATGATCACACTCTGCCTTCCTCACTGCTCCCCTTTGAAGTCAGTGCCTCCCCCCTGCATCTCCTTCCCTTCTGTGGAGTGGCTCATATGCATCGAGTCCGTCCTCATCCTCCTCCTTCCACCTCCTGCACGATGCCCACAGTGGCCGGTCCCTTTGCTACCCTTGTTTCTGGGGGCACTGACAGCAATGCCTTTACCTTGTCTTGCTTCCCGTGCATGCTCTGCAGTGTTTTCCTTTGCTTTATACGGTGAGGCAAGGCACGTGGGAAAGGGAAAGGGTTAATGGCTTTGTTTCAGAGCAGGGGTCTGCTCCCTCTGCAGTCAGTGTGGCTGGAGACACAGGGAGCAATGAGGTGAGCTTGAAAGGTACAGCTCTTGGGGTGGGATTTGATATCAGGGATTTCTATGGGGCTCAACAGCGTGAAGCAGAGCGGCAACACCAGGATGTGCAGAAGCCTAAAACCTTGTGGGGATGTTAAGAGGGCCTTTCCAAGCTAGTTGAATACAAAGAGGAGAGAAAGGAAAGGGGCCTGACTGAAAGGAAAAGCAAAACAAGGAGCTTTGTGTGAATGGAAGCAACTATAGATAAGATGGAGCATATGTGCATGTGTGAAAGAACAAGGTGGGAGAGGATGTGAGAGGATATGGGAACACATAAAGGTTCCTGCATCTAAAAGAGTCAGTGAATAAGAGACAGACAGAGAGGAACCACGGATGTTAAAATAAAAGAGCTTGTATTGTGCGGGGTCGGTGCAGACAGCGCATTTCAATGTCTGAAAGAGAGGAAGAAAGATTGTTTTCTTTGGAGCTCTCCTTCTCAAAATTGGATCCCAGACCTCTCTGTTCCCTTTTCTTGTGCTTTTCTGACCGCTTTAAGTGTCATCAAGCTCAGGTCTTGCAGCAGGGGCTGATTAGGACTCAGCTTGCATTTAAACCTTCAAGTGGTTGCTCTGGACTATCCCTAGCTACCAGTGACCCTTTGAAAGGGAATAGGGTTTGCAATGTCTTCAGCTCTTATTGCCTTTCTCCTATAATCATACCCTTTTCTCAGTTATTAAAACCAGCAGGTCTCTATCTGAAAGGGAGGAAACTTTCCTCTCCCACCCCTGGGAGATATTTGCTGGGTAATACCAAGAGCTGTTGGCCAAAGAAATTCCATTAGCAGCCCCCTCCTTGGATATAACTCTCCCTTGCTCCTGGGTATTCCCAGAGTTTGGCAACTACAGCTCCTTCCCCTTTATTTTACTCCCTTTTAAATGGGAGGAAGGGGTACACAGGGGTACTCAGTGGAAAGGATGGGGAGGCAAGGAAGAAAGCAAAGGGAGAGATAAGGTGCTTTGCAGCTCATCAAATCCCTCCCATGTCATCCAGGGCAGATCATAGGAGGCACAGAGTACCTTGGGGACAGAGAAAGGGCAAGGGAATTATATCTTTGAGAAGGAGAGGAATAACTCTGTGCAGGAGAAGAATGGTGTCCCATTGGACACACGTTGATCAGTGCCTCCTTGCGGGCTAGGAACATCCATGCTAAGAGGTGGGTAAAGGTGGAGCACAAAGACCAGGGTAGATGATGTGCAATGGGTTGGGTTAGCTCAGTCTGCCTTTATCCCTGTGGTCCCTGGTGTTCCTGTGTTGGAAGCAGCCCTGTAGTTCCCTTGCTGTAGCAAAAGCCTTCCTAGGTAAGTGTCTGCAGCAGGCCTGGCCCGGATCAGAACGGTAACCTCTCTCTCTTGCGGTGTCTCACCCACCCCTGCTCCCAGAATGAGGATCAAGGTCTTCGTAGACGTAACGAGCGAGAGCGGACAGTAAGTGCTGGATTGGTTTGGTTTTTCTTTCTCCATCTGGTTTGTGGGATCTGTTTGTCACTGGAGACAGGTGCTGACGGCTCCCAGGCAGCAGCACCACCAGCTTCTTGCATACAGGGAGAGGATGGAAATGCCAGCCCAGAGCAAGATGCGGTCGGAAGCAGCACCTCCAATTCCCAGCAGTTTCTTGGCCACTCCTACTGTAACAAGACAAGCGCTCCCTAATCCATCCTGGGAGGTCCTGCCTTGTCCTCCCTGGGGTGGGGGATTTTATAGTCAGCAAAAGGACAGTAATCCTCCAAATCCAAAGTGGGAAATCCTCCCACTTTCTCTGAAGTAAAAATAAAGCCAGTCATATGGTGCTTTGAAGGTGTAATCTCACCGCCACAAAACCTCCCTCCTCGGGCACGCCATAGAGCAGGGAGATGGTTTTATGCTTTTTCAATGATGTCTTAACCACCTAATGTAGCAGACCTGACTCAATTCCCAGTTAACACACTTCCTTCCAGCAACACCCAGGTCAGGAGCCCCATTTTCGTTTTCAGGAGAAATAAAGAACTCAGGTGGCTCCTTGCTAGTTTCCCATTTCTACATGAGGGTGACATCCCTGCTCTGACTCCAAAAAGGGTAGACAGAAGGACTCAGGAGAGAAACAGCAAGGAGGGAAACGTTTAAGATTATTGTTGGTTTAAGATCCTATAGGAATGCATGACAGGTACGTACTGTAGACAGCAAGAGAATGTTCAAAGCATGCTGTAAGAAGGAATGCAACTTTAAGAGCAAGTTTTCTGTGTAAGTAACACTTGCATGCTCATCGTAGATCCTTGCCCTATATTGTGGGAATTTCAGCCTTCCTCATACCTTTTCATCTTCTCTAACTCAGGGGTGAGCCCCTCTGTCCCACTTGCTCTCTGTTTTGTCCTCACGAAAAGGAGGACGCTCCTAAAAGCAAGCTCAGGGTTACTTGTTCCTGCTCAACCCCAATACACTGACATTTATTCTTCACTCCAGACAATGATTGTTCAAGGAGGATGTGTGGCTTCCAGCACCACACTTAACTGCATTATGTTTTCTATCTTCCAACACCTACATCCTTTCCACAGGCTGGTCCACACTATGACAACTGTCTTCAGCTGCTGTCACTCAACAGGACTGCTTCTTTCTGTCCATCCCAGAATTCAAAACCAATTCATGGAGAAGGTCAGGATAGTGGCAGCCCAAAGCTGGGATTTTTCCCAATCTGATACATCATATCAGTGCATGAATGTGCACTGTGCTTGCCTTGAATTTGGCCAAGCAGAGGAAAAACAGCCTACTTGTGTTTGTGAGCCATGCTGCAAGACTAAAGACAAGTTTAAACTGCATGAGAGGTTATTAATTGGCTCTTGAGCTTTTGAGCAGTAACAGAAACCCAGTTCCCTGTAGCAGTATCTTTCCAACTCTCACATGTTACCAGAGTCTTCAGGTTCTCCTGAAACCATAGCAGAGGAATCCTCCAGACCCCAAGAAGGAGTTTTTCACTTTTGGACCAGCAAGAACTCGTTATTTTGGGATGATTAAAGGTACAGGACATGGTCAGATCACAGGGAAAGCTGTCTGCAGCACACCTAGTTTTACCAAAGAGATAGAGAAGGTGTATAGGGGATGGAAGAGGGTTGAGAGTAAATCATGGCAGAAATGAAAGCTAATTCAATCAAATAAAGACTGTTTAAAGCTAATCTACCAGGCTGTCTGAAATGGATAGATTACTGACATCCCCTTTAATCAAGCTCTTGGAAATAAAACTGAGAGGGGAGGAGGTAACCCAGATAATGAAGAATTGTATGGAATCATGCTGGAAACAAAGACAAGTGGGAGAAGTCAGGTGGGGGAAGGTGGCAGAATCGCGTGCCAGTTCCATTTAATTAGTTCATTATCCCTAATTTAATTTCAAACTTTTGTTGAAGATAAATTAGATTTGGGAAAAGTCACAGTGGGAATGGGGAAGGAAGTCAAAGGGCACCAGCTGCTAAATACCTTAAAAAACATCAAGATGGTCTTGCTCTCTTCACTTTTGCCGGTTAGAAATGAGATCAGGGAGCAAATGGAGCAATGTGGCTCCTGGCTTCACATGCTACAGGAAGGTGAAAAGAGACAGGGAAGTCTCTTTCTTTGACCCCAGTGCTGGTGTTTTCCAGCTGCCCTGCTCTGGCCACACTCCAACCCATGCAGAGTGAAGAAAGAAAAGAACTTGCTCCTATACTCACCTGGCCAAACTGAAGTACTGACAAACCATCACTTATTTGCTCTAGTCCTACTTCACAGATGCTTGTTTCATGCCCACATTAACTGATAGATAAACAGAAAGAAATATGCTTTACTAACACGGTATATTGTCAATAGGCAGCCCATGAAACAGTATCTCATGACCCCTTCTGCTTGTTTCAGTGATAGACATGAATACCCAACAATACACAACTCATCTTTCCTGTTAGACCTTCCTGTCTATTAGACATTTTGAGTGCACTTACTAGTATGAAGCCACATGCTTTTCTGTTGCATGCTCAAAAATCATATAAAACCACCATACCATTTAACTGATAAAAGACTGCTAGCCTTCCTAAAAGACTCTTCTTGCCTGCTACATCTAAGTTTCACTCATGAAGACAACTTCCCTTTCAGGTTAGTTCTATCCAGGTAGTTGAGCAATCAGTTAATGACTTACCTCTATAATAATGCAGGAGGAGAGCACTGCTAATAGTTTTTCCCCCTTGCAGGCATGGAAAGAAGCTCTGTTGTGTTTGAGACTCCTTAAGAGTAGATTAAGCATGGAGAAACCATTTACTCTGCTAGCCAACACTCTCCCAAACCTGTTCACCTCTCTTTATCCCTTTTTAGCAGCTGGCTCAATCAGAAGAATAGCAAACAGCTGTTCCTTGTTCTCTGCTACCCTTATGGTATGAATGCCTGGTAATGCTATAGAATTTGTATGAAGGTAACTGTCTCCAGGCTTGAAGTATGTGTTGCCACAGCCTACCTAGTTTTCTAGCCACGGGGTTGTATGTGTACAGAGTAAATCTGACTCTGCAGAGGCCTAAACTTCCTCTGTAATTATAGCTGCCACTTGGAAGGGTGCCTTAAAGCAGCAGGAAGAGATTGTAGGGGTTAAGGTGGAGTTAGTGAAGCTTCCTCATGTCCCATGGTTTGGGTTCCTCCAGTTTAACAGCTCTAATGCTGCACAGCACCTCTCCACGTGTTCACTTGGCATTTAAAAGCCAGAAGTGGATGAAACCCTCAGGAGGTAACTGTGGGAATGGCCCACCTAAATTGCAGATACCCATGCAGCAATTCTAAATAGAAGGGGCCAAGGGCCTTTTGTCCTTCATTATGTGGCCAGGTCAAGATCACTGACTTTCAACAGCTTAAGTGATGGGCTATAGGGTTTTGCCAAGGAAAGGGAAATGAACATCAGTTTGGCCTCAGCATTGCTGCAGTTATCCTGGTGCTTAGACAAACTTTCCATCCTTTAGCAGCCTTCATTGCTCTTAGTGAGGCTGTTCCTGACATTGCGCTAACCGCAGCCCTCCGACTCGCTTGTAGCCTCTTTGAGCAGCCTGGACCATCAATAAATTATTGTCGACACTTCATTTTCTATCAGATTTTTTAAGCACCCTGGTGAAATATTTATCCAGGAGCTGGCAGAGTAGATTGTTCTGTTCCTCCAGGCGTTTTCTCCTGAGGGTCACATCCTTGTCCTTTCCACTAAACTGACTGTTTCTGGTACTTTGAAAGAGAACAAGGAAGGACTCAAGGGCAAGTTACTTGCTTCCACCAGCCCCCGTTCAAACCACAGGCATAAAAGGTGATTGCTAATGCATTTGCTCTCTCTTAGAGAACAGATTAGCCCTTGGTGAATGTGGGTTGATTTTAAAGACCAAAAGTGCTGTCCTCGCTAGATGTCCCTCCTGCTTGAGTCATCCCCTAGGTCTCCAAACCGGAGTGAAGGGCCTGGGAGCAGGGAGGAATCCTTCCCATCTGCTGCCACCCTCTGGGGAGCCGGAGTCCTGGGCTACGGGGAAGCTCTGCGCTCCTCTGAGCTTACACAGGCGTGTAGCAGGGGGATCTCTGTCTCCTGATGCTGCTGTTTGCACGGACAAAAAGGGTCTCTGCAATACTTGCACTTGAACAAGCAGTCTTTCTTCAGTATTGCCTCTGCAAAATTACCTCAATGGAAACCAAAGCATTTCGGACTCCAAGAGGGGTTCATTTCATTTGGTTTCATTTAAGAAGGCTCAGATTTTGCAAAGCATCCATAAGAATGCACTCCATCAGAGCAAAGATCGTGGGACCACAGAGTAGTCTTGGCCTTGAGAGCGCTTTGCATTCACTGTAGTTGATTTGACTTACAAAACTGGCCCCAAGGCTTTTAGTGGGATTGCTCACACAGGTAAAGATTAGCACATGCACTCCTATCTACTAGGTAAACATTACACACATATTTTGCCTCCAAAGCCCCTGGTCAGATACATGTGCCCTTTAAGTAAAAGAACATGAGCCTGAATCAGATTAATGATGCATACAAGCACTGCTTTTTCAAAGCTCAGCTGTGAAAGAGTTAGGAAGCTTGAAAAGAAACCGTCCTTGCTTGGCCAAGTGCTTATTTTGTACAGAGGCATTTGTACATTTACAGACAAGGGGCAAACTGTGCAAAATCTATCCATATTCATCAGCAGGATGGATATTTCAGGAAGGGAGACGATGATTTTGGGATGTGAGGGTTCATCACCTGGGTTTCTGTTTTTTTCTGAAGCAGTAAGCAGAACTGTTTAACTTTCCATCCTTCTTGTTCTATGTGTCTCAGCAAGGAACTGAAGAGTTGTGTGGTTTATGGCCACTGATGCCAGAGTTCTCACCCATTGACTTTTGTCTCTGCTTCCAGAACTTTGGAAAGTGTCACTCAGAAGTATCGAATGCGAGTGATTACCTGACCCGCTGCTACTCACATGAAGATCGATATCTGGAGAAGATCCCTCACGTTTACACCCCTATGTCAGATCTTCCACAAGATCTTTATCCTCATCATGCGGACATCTCCTTCTGCTGCCCACCTCCTGGTTCCCGGGCTCCTTACATCTGTCCTAAGGAACAGTATGTTTAAAGCATCAACACTGCAAAATGAAGAAGCTAATGTTTCTCACTTCTCCTGGGCCAGTCGCTCAACAACCAAGGCCTTTTAGATCCCTTCTTTTGCCATTGCTTGTTTTATTTATGGCATTTGAAATTGGGGTGCGATTGTAACTGACATGGTTAGGTTAAGTATCTGCCTGGCTTGCTTATGCTCAAGGGAACACTCTGCCATCACCCACATCTCATTCAGTACTTGCGTCTTCCTTTTCTCATCCTGGCCATCCTGTATCAAGCTAGCTCTGTGCGTGCATGTGTGTGTGGGTGACAAGCTGCCCTGTGTTGGATGGGATGTGCCCAACCCGATTAAATGTCCGTAGGTTCCCTTGTGCCAATCTCTGCACTGTTTGCACCAGAGTAGCTGGGTGTGGATGTTTCACAGCCCTTGTTTCAGCTCGTGTGAAGGTTTACAGCACAGCCAGTGCTAAATCTGAGGCTGTAGCAGGGCTTTTCCCCCTCCTTTGCAGAAATTTGTTTCCCCCTTGGCAATGGGGATAGGAAATCCCTGTTGTGAAGAGCTAAACAGCCAAGATTGCTGAACCAAATAGTAAGATGCTTATAATGAAAGATGCTCAAAACCAACCTAAGAATAGAGAAAAGGTCTTGGTTTAGGGGTTTTGTTTCTCTCCCTTTTCCCTCCTTCTCCCACTCCCAATATCTTGGATTGGCTCTTTTAAATCCAGATGGTGTGGGGATATATTTTGAAGCCAACACATTTGGAGAACGCATCCTTTAAATAACCATCTTATAACCCAAAACGCAAAGGGAAAAAAAGTATAGGAAGGAAAACATTCTCTCTAATTTTCCTTTTCAAAGCCTAATGTGACCCCCCCACTAGCATTTCCCCCTCTCTTCCTTGCATCTGTTGATTGGAATTTCAGAATGAACTCAGGCAGAATATAAAGAATAAATCACAATTTCAGGTAATCCTCTTGCTCTTCATGAAGGATAAAAGCCAAGAGCAGAATCTGGCCTTTTAACTTTTTCTAAAGCATCTTGGTCTTGGGACTACAAATCTTTTGATACTGGAATGTGTGTGTGTGTAAATGCAAACGTGTATATTCCTGTGACCACAAAGTGTTTTAAAGAATGGAACTCATCTCCACATCACATTTGTGTTCACTTGTATTAGAGTAAAAATAAATATAGATACACACTTAAAGGTGTATAGAAGCAAAGAAGAGGAGAAAAAGGCATTAACATCCTGTCCGAGAGCTTGGCTTCAAGGATAACTTTCATCTGTTCACCCAGGTATGGCGTAGAATAGATGACGGCTGGATGTTCTGAACAAAGGATATGCCTTCTTGGCAAATGGGCATTTAATTTCCTTTGTCTCAGGTTGGGTATTTGGCAGTCTGCAGACATTGCACACTGAATATCACTCTGGAAACCATGAAGCTGTTTGAGCAAAGTGCGTGTGGGAGGGAGAGATGGGAACCACACCATTATCCTGTTGCCCATACACCGATAACGTGTCAGTGCTACCTGCACAAATAGGAAGTGAAACTAGCAAGCAGATGAAACCCTCCCCATAAGAGGAGGTATGAATACTGCATTGGATGCTTCCAGCCCAGCTCCTGCTGTGCCACATGGACTGAGGCACCATGTTATTTTTGTATCTCTAAATCTAAACAGCTATAGTTGTTCTATGCACTTTCTGTGTTCCCATCATCTAAAGCAGCCTCAAGACTCACCCTGCTTGACCCTCTTCCTCCACAGAGAAGCACATCTGTGTTCACACTACCTCAGGGATTCCCTGCAGGCTAATAAATAGATCTGTATATAAGAGAGATGTTCATACTTCAGTTAGGCAATATAGCACTGCATGAGGATGACGCCACGTGCATGTATCCCTGCATGGCGTACAGCACACCCTCGGAAAACCAACCCTCCCTCTTCCCCTGCTTCCCTGGTGCACGTTGCCACTCTGTGCTTTGTGGAGACAGCATGAAGCTGGTCACAAGGACAAGGTGGTTGTCTCTGAGGTGGGAAATGGATATACCATGTGGGTAGGTAGTTTCCTGCTGGGACGTGGTTCTACACTGGGTTGAGAGGGTGTTGTATCAGGTGAGTGACCTGACTCTGCCTACCTGGGTGAGGTCCAGATGAAAGGGCACTGATGTGCTTCTTGACCAAGCTGAAATGGCCAATACCTCTGACAGGCATAGCAGCTTTCATACGTGCTAGTGCATGGGGCACTCTCATTCCTGGAGGATCAAGGCACTGTACAGACATAGCCTTTGAGCATTAAACACAACTTTTCCAATACTATCCTTTTGGTCTTGACTGATGAAACCCTTTTCAGAGTAATTTGGATTCACATTTCCTCTGCCAGTCTCTAGGGAATTCAGCCAGTCATTTCCTTACAGCAATGGACTCGAGTGCTACGTGTCTTGATTCAGATAATGTATTTCTCTCTCTTGTTTTCCTCTCACCATACCTTAAGGTACTTTCCGTTTACCACAGAGCTGGAAATTGGGTGTGCTCTGAACTGAACTGAAGCCACAACCAACACATCCACCTTGGAAGGGGAAACATGGAGTCTGACAAACGTGTCTTGGGTCACTGAGTTTGGAAAGGTGATGAGGTCTCTGACATCCTAAAATCAACCCAGCACCACTGACCATGAAGAAAAAGTAAGGCAAACTCCATGAGACACTTCCCTATTTGCTTGCCTGTAATAGCAGGATGCTGCCTGCACAGCGGCAATTAAAGTAGATTTGATTGGGAGCCTTCACCTGGTGCACTTTCAGACTGATCTAAGAATATAAATGAGAAGTGAAATACGGTCAGATCTTCAAATACATAAGGGACCATTTTCCAGAGGAGGCAGGGAACATGATGCAGGTGGTTTTCTGTGCTGCCTGTGGCTGGAGAGATGATGCTTTGATAAGCAAGGGGAAGGCAGAGATATGGACTGCAGCGTTACAGAGAAACCGGTTGCCTTGTGCAGCTTTGAATCACAGCCACAAAGGGTTTTACTGTGCTTTCCAGCAAAGGAAAAGGATTTCAACCCTCCTTAGAAAGGGAAAAAGCAGGAAAAGCATAAATTCAAGCAGTAGTTTGACTTGTGTCAGCACCTCTATTAGGCTTAGGTATGTCTTGGTTCTCTTTGCCTCTTTTCTCCTTAAGACTGCATTGGTCTCCAACAAAATGGCAAAAGAGAGTCTCCACACACCACCAAATTCCTTTGTACCCTAGGAAAAGGGGGGGAAACCCCTGCAGAAAACCCCTGCTGAAGGAGGCAGTGTGGTTCAAGTCCATTGTTTTAGTTTTATAAAGCTGCATTTAGAAATGGTTCAGATTCAGGGCTCTTTTTCCTCCCTCTTTTTTCCATACAGTTGCACTGTGTTTGCCTAATGGCTGTTTCCAGACTTTGCTGTGCTTGTTGTCATGGGCTTAACTCTACCTACCCCTGTCTGTGGTGACCTTGCAGGCACAGAAATCCTGCCACAGCAATGCTCATGAGAGGTGTTCTCCTCCTGCCATGGTGCAAATAAGATCCCTCCTCTGGGAACAGAGCCATCCAGTAGCATTGTTGGGTGTAGGCTGCCGAACAAGTCAAACAGGAAACTGGTCCAGTGTGATCATGCACCCAGTGGGCTCGCAGTACATGGGAGAAATTGGTGTTCTATTCCCATGTCTGACTGGTGTGAGACGTGAAGCCGTTCTTCCTGTTGCTGGGGTGAAATGTCATCATTTCTGCTTCGTATATTGGTGGCACCGACACCCGAGCTCTTGCAGATGGAAAAGACTGATCACAGAACTCAAATAAAGATGAACTGAAGAGTTACAGCTTCTCTCATAGCTGTGAAGCTTGTGTGAGGTGCTTGATCTCTTCCTTTCACCCAGTGCTGACCTCCTCCTGAGTTGTTCACTACATCCATCATCCCTCGCACATTCACACCCCAAAATGTACACATGTGCACACACACTCCTCCCTGGCTGAGTTCTGCTAAGGCTGCCCTCAGGACTAGATGAAGCCACCTTTCATGTTGCATCCTTCACTGCCTGCAGCACTAGCAAGGACATGGGACTTCAAGGTAAGCAGAGGAGCAGCGTTCAGGTGACCTGCAAGGCAAAGTGTGGTGCACATCACTACTAGAGCTCTGCCCTCGGAGCAATGCAAACATAATTACACTGCCCAAGTGCTCTAGGAGAGATGCCCCTTTTCACTTAGTTCATTTTACTTCCTACTCTTGTGGGAAGCCTCCTCCCTGCAGTGCAAGTGGGTGGAATAGATTCAGCCACAAGCAGCTCTCTGGGCCAGCAGCTATTTAGGGAAGGTGCAGGTAAAGGCATGCCTGCGGCCCCCTCCTCTCTAGCCCACTTCTCTTGTAAGTGCCCTGATTTCCTTCTGCAGGCAAGCACTCCATATGCATTCCGTATGGTTCCATATGCAGGTAGGCATTGAACACCCTTTTATGACAACACATGCATTGCAGCTGCCTTTGCAGCATCCTCTGTTGAACCCTGGTGTGCTGCATGGGAGCTGTCAGAGAGGGATGAGGAGTCCTCCTCTACCCCATCCATAGCACATAGGGAACAAGACTACTCCATCTCTGCCCCTGCTTCATTACATGCTCCACTAGCACCCCTGAATCACAGTGCAGTGAGCAGCAAGTGCTGGTGTCCTGGATGTTTCCTTACCAGCAGCACATGGCAATCATCTGGTGGGAAGTGCTCCCTGGTTAATCTGGGATTAGCAATAGCTGGATTCGCATGAGAAACAGGCAACAGAATAAATCCCCATCTTTAAAGGGGGTCCTCTGGTTAAAGACAAGCTGTCTGGCATGAGGGCAGAGGACAAGAAGAGGAAAGCATTCCTGGGGGGGGGGTATTTCCACCACAGCCCCATGACTGTACAGCCCCATCAGCCCCAGGGTAAAAACTCCTCTGCACAAGGATAGAGCCTCTGCATCGGGATAAAGATCTTTTGGAAGGATGTAGCCCCTCTGCACAAAGACGAGTTTATCCTGTATTTCTGGATCCTGGCATCTCCCCCCAGGACCGTATCTACTTTCTAAACAGGGGAAAGGAATACAGATTTATCTCGTGTGTGGCAGTCATAACACATTTGGATGGAGACTCCCACCAATGCCCAGATAGAGATTTGTTCATCCAAGTCAAAAAGGCACACAAACACCCAGGCCAGTATCACAGACACTGCACAGATAAGGTGGAAAAGATGCCCATTCAGGCAGAGATGCTGTGAAGCACATCCATGCATGCTTGTTTTCTATTTCCCCGCTGATATCAGATATGCAAGCAGGGTCAGCACTTAAGATGAGATGTGAGGTCTCTTCCTCCAGTGCTGAATGTACTATGATCAATGCTTCACTCAGAACACAGTACCTCATGCAGCTTCACTTTGTGTGTATACAGAAGTCTACATATGAATCTGTGTGTGTAAGACTAAAACGTTGGTGTTACTACCCCTTAGAGTGCTGTGGAGGGCAGACGACACACCACCAGTGTGGAGTGCAGTGGGGGAGCTGCAAATTAGAGGAGAGCACAGGAAGGAGCTGCATTAAAGATTCCACATCTCTGCTGCAAACAGGGATGGCTGATCTCTTTTTCTGCTCTATGCTGTCATGCTCTATTTTCTTGCTCTTTATGGTGGATGGGAGGTGAGGTTTTAAAGCCTGCCAAGAATGCATCCAGCCTGTTCCTCTGGGTGAACAGCACCATAGAAAGAAATGAACTTTCTCCAAGCTTCCTCCCACCCCCAGATCCACCCCTCCCCCTTGTAATCCAGGCTCAAGTACCATCATTTTCATATCAGGACTAATTACATTAATTATTCTCCTCAGTATAAAACTCATTAAGCTGGAATTTATGGTTCATTAACTCGGAGCCAGAGATCTGCCTCTGTGCAGTAGTGTGGGGCCAGGATTATTTGTGCCCTGGCTGAGGCCAGGTTCTAATCCGTGTCCCTTGGCCACACTCAGCATCCCCTACTGAAGTGTGAGCAAAGCTGTGTGAGCTCGCACAGGAGCATCGCACCGGGCAGGAAGGTGTTTCTGAACCACATGAGGATGGAAAGGTCAACAACACCCCTGGTGCAGACCTAGCGTGGAATGCGTTCGGTTACAGTTCAGGGAAGATCAGGTGTGATGAGCAGGGTGAGAGCAGCCAAAGGAACCCTTGCAGGCAGGCTACGTTCCAGGACTGCAGCAAACGTGTTCAGTGCTGTGGGAAAAGGTCTGTACCAGTGCTTGGGAGATCCAGCTCCAAGTCACAATGTTAATG